GATATCACACACGTTGTGGTTTCCGTGTATTTTGAGTATATGTGTGGGCATCGTTAATACCTTGCACTTTGTGTATACAAAGGCAGTTTTAAGGCTAATGGCCCCTGGAAAGCTCATCTAGAACTATCTCTAGAACTAATTTTTGGCAGTAAGATGTTTTTTTTGTGTGTGTGTATGCAGTGGGTTTATTACTGGGTCCATATTATATAACTTTTTTTAAAAAAGAATTTATTTATTCATGAGAGACACAGAGAGGCAGAGACGCAGGCAGAGGAAGAAGCAGGTTCCCCACAGGCAGCCCAGTGTGGGACCCCATCCCTGAACTGGGATCATGTCCTGAGCTAAAGGCAGACGCTCAACCGCTGAGCTACCCAGGCATCCCATAACTTTTGTTTTTTAACATGTTGGTTTTTGTCCTCCCTAACTGCTTTATCTGAAAGGTTATAGGGATTAAAAAATAGTCTTGAGCATAATAGAAAGCACTAGTGTGAGAGAGTAGCACTGGCAGCCCGATGCACTGATTTCCAGACAGCGGGCTGAGGCACTCTGTTTTTGAGCGGTAGTAGCTCTTTCAGTGTACTCGGAGTTCTTAAAGCTCATCCAGGACACACTCACTCCTTCACTCATTTTTTATTCCTCGGTGTTTCTTTTGAAAAAGAAGACTGTAATCATACCTAACAAATTCCCGACTTGTGGCACATTTTACTTAGGATGATTCATAGTCTCTCCTTCAGATTGTGAATTTATATCTGAAGCAAAAAATGTCATGCACACAATCGGATAACTGCTCCTGGGTTTCTGTTTCATGGCCTTTTCTGACATTCTGCCTCGTCTGATACTTTTATTTTACACAAAAATGTATACACGGAGTGGACAGTACACCCTCCACCTACCACCTTGCACCATCCACCTTCTAACAGATTTCTTCTGCTAAAGCAGCAAAAAGAGATAGGCATGCTTAGGCTGCTAATAAACACACGTAGCTTGCACAAGTACACACACACACACACACACACACACACACGCTCCTGAACCACGTTCTGTTTCTCTCTCCTTCGTCTTCACTCTATCCTAGCTGGATAGATTTCCATGCAGACACTTACTCCTACACTTTGCAGGTTTAAGTAAGGTGGTAGTGCTTCACTGTGGCTTTTTGCACTCATGCACCCCTCTGTGAGTGTGAGTATGTGTGTGTGAGTGATGAAGCTGAAGATCTGGAATATGGTGTGAACTTGTCTATACAGAAAGTTTTTATAGGGTGGTGGATGGTATTTACTATTAGTGGCTTTGTGGCTCAAGCTTTTGGATTTCTTACCTTTGCACAGGCTTAAGGCTTATAATGCTATGCTGTAATTATTGGTTAGATTCACGAATGAGAACCACACTGTTCTTTAAAATTATTCTTGTGACTAAAATACAGTACCGTCACTCTCTGTCTTATTTCATTGGAAATGAATCGAGGCTAGGTGTGATGTTGTCTTGGGTGAGGGTATTAAAGAATTTGAGAAGATTCTTCCTAATTCTGGCTCTTCACTTAAGGGACCAGAAGACTGTTGAGATTTAACAGGGTTAGAGGTGTTGTCCCTTACCTCGGGCCACATAGCTAAGAAGTAAAATAGGTTTGAACCCAGGTCTCTGCTGTCACTAATCATCCAGATGTAACCAAGTTAATATCCTCCCAAAACTGTAGTTTTCCATCCCTTGAACTTACCTTCTACTTCCATTTTTGTTTTTTAAACTATTCTCCTTTCTTGGAATGTCTTGCTAATTTTCTCTCCTGGTCCAGCTTCTGCCTGCTAACACCCACAGGCTTTGACCTCTGGAGAAATGCCGGGGCCTGTCAGGGCCGCTCCCTCATGCTATAAATGAAGAAGTTGAGGCTCAGAGGAGACCTGGGGTTGAACGGTGTAAGAGTCTAACAGCCAGGGTTTGAATACCATGTTTTTATTCATTCCCTGGTGATTCTTCCATTAACCTATTAATTCTTCTTCAAGTCTCTTGTACCCATAAATCTTGGGAGAAAGAGCAGATTCTAGAGCAAGGAAGTGGGCTCAAGTTTTAATTCTGCCACCTAGGAGCTGATCACTGTGGGCAAATTACTTCATATTTTTGTTGGTTAGGCTCTGCATCTGGTAAATGGATTATAACAATAGGATCTACTGCATAGGAGGAGCACACGAACCACTATTTGGAATGGAGAACAGACCTAGCACATCGCGAGTATTATATACGTGTGTGTTAGGTAAGGAAGGATAGGCACCATGCATCTGAGTTCTGAGGGTTGCAGTGAAGAACCCCAGGGATTGCAGAGCTGGGAGCAGGGTGCCTGAGTGGCCACCTCCTCTGTGAAGTCTTCCTGCTCTTACTCACCTGTGAAATGTTGTCCTTCTCTCCCACCAGTTACACTATATGAGTTTCTTCTAGAACACATCTCATTTTGACTACCTTTGCAGTTCTCTGTAACTTGTTTGATTTCCTCCCTGTAGACTATAAACCTCTGGAGGGCTGAAACAGAGGGCTGAGACTCTCATCCTTGTGATCACAGTGCTCTGGGCTTGGTGCATATCTAGCTATTGGATGTTACAGAACAATTTTTTTTAAAGTGGTCTTTTTATCCCTTAAGATTTTATTTTATTTATTTACTTGAGAGAGCATGCATGAACAAGTGGGGGGGGGGGGCAGAGGGAGAGAGAGAGGCAGGCTCCATGCTGAACAGGGAGCCCAATGTGGGGCTCCATTCCATGACCCTGGGATCATGACCTGAGCTAAAGGCAGACACTTAACAGACTGAGCCACCCAGGTGACCCATTTCAGAACAGTTTTAAAGGAAACACTTTCTGTCAGAAAAATCTCTAAACCTACTACCTGAATCAGTTGACTTGTTTCTATTGACATTATTGTTTTATATAATAAGGCTGGCTGCCCTCCAAAGAAAGATTGATTTTTCCCCCTAATTTCATTTCATATGTTAAATATATAAATTCAACATACGTGTTGAATTGAAATACGTATGTGGGTGCACACATGCACCAGACAGAGGCGGCTTCCATTCCCTACAGCCTTTATAGAAAGAATTCAACTCGGAAGGCGGGAGGTAAACCTGATGGAGTTACATGTTTATATGGAGGCTGATCTCAGTGGTTAATGAACCTGTTACTCTTGCTCGGTAGTCACACTGGCCTGTCAATTGTGTATTAGGCTCCTTGCAGGCAGGGACAGAGCCTTTGCATCATGATGTAATAGGCCATGGTCCTTTGGCCTCAGACTTGAATTTGAATAATGGATTCTGCTTTGTTATATCTGTGTAGCCCTGGACATATTACTTCCTGAAATCTCAGTTTTGTCATCTGTAACATGAGGGCAGTATATACCTCATAAAATTTGTTATAAAGAGAAAGCGATGTGTCCAGTGCTTGGTATATAGAAGGTGCTGGGTCAGTAAACACTTGTAACCACCCTAAAGTTATGCAACAGTGAGAGGGTTCTTCTGTCATGAGGGTAATGGGGTTAAAGAGGCCTCTGGAGAATCATTGTGGAAAATCAATTTACTTATTACTTTCATTGTTCGCATGGGAAAAACAATTACCGTTTTCTCTTTCAAAGGCAGCAGGAAGCTTACTTTGTTCTTTACATGTGTGAAGCCTCTCCTGGCTTGTGGCTGTAGTACGGAAAGTGAGATTTATGGAAGCATAGAGGACTTCCTTGGCCTCACTCTCACTATGGACAAGCAGTCTCTGTGTACAGGAGGGAGGAGGGTGCAGGGGCCTGCCTGCCGTTAATCAGGCAGTGCACAAGATGGCATCACTCACACAGCAGAAACACCCGATTCCATTTTACTTTGTTTTTCTCATCATAAAGACATTTTTTGGAAGAACGATTATATTAGGAGTGTACTTCTAGTCGGTTGATATCAGTGTTGGGAAGTTGAGGGAAAACTGTTTCAATGACTAGATTCTCCATGTCATACATACTTAGTTCTGTGAGGCTAGAAATTGAGCAGAGTCTGGTCTCCAGGAAGACCTTAGCCATGGAAACAGTGTCAATTTTACTGGTGGAGCTCTCTGGGGTGGAGTGTATGTTGCAGCTCGTGAGGTCTGCCCATCTGTACAGTGGGCACTTATCTCCGCATGCTCGCTCCCCCTGTCCTCCGCCGCTCCCCCCACTGGACTTCTGCCCACAGCATTGTGTCATCCCTGTGTGAATCAGGCAATTTCGTTGATGTCATTCCATTACAGGAAAGAATGTGTATCTGACAGCGGAAGTTGTTTTGTAGGCCTTGAATTGCTAATAATGATGAAATAAAATCAAGTAGTTTTGTACTTTTCAAAATGTTTGATCTGTTGCATTGTGGTGATAATAGAGCCAAGTGCTGCAGAATCTGTAATTTCTTTTATATTAACCAGTCTGTGTGGCTTTCTCCCTCTTGGGTTTCCAGATGTAGTTCAGTTCAGTTGGTATCAGATTTGGTAGACCTTATAAGGTCCTTGGGCTTTCGTTCTTCCCTCCGTTTGAGTTGAACGGCTGTAATTAAGTACATCCTGAGATCTTCAGAGACTGTTCAGTGCCAAACATTAGCTATAGGAGATACATTTGGGGTACAAAGTTGTTTGCTGGCAGTAAGGGAACTAATTCGTACTTGCAAATAATAGTTTACAAAAAGAGCTGGAAATGAAGTTTAAAAAAGTTTGGATTGCTGTCAGAGCAGAGGGAGGAGGGGTTTCTTTTAGGAAGGAGAACTTGTGTACTGTGTACGAAGAACAGAGAGGACCCATTAGTGTCTTCCTTCCAGCAGGAGGCCTCTGACATGGTCCTCCTCCCAGTGGGAGGGCTCTGATACAGTGTCGTTGTCCCCCACCCCCACCCCCAGGGCTCTGACAGGTCCCCATCTCAGCAAGAGGGCTCTGACATGGTCCGCCTTTTAGTGGGAAGGCTCTGACATGGTCCTCCTCCTAGTGGGAGGGCTCTAATACTGTTTTCTTTTTTCCATGTGTTTTGTTTAGGTCATGACTGCTGTGAGACAGTGAAGGTGCTGCTCTGTGCTTCCAAGGAGGGCCTTCCAGTATTTGTGGTGGCTGAAGAAGACTTCCACTTCATCCAGGATGAGGCATATGATGCAGCCCAGTTCCTGGCGACCAGTGCTGGGAATCAGCAGGCTCTGAACTTCACCCGATTTCTTGACCGGTCGGGACCCCCATCTGGGGATGTGAATTCCCTTGATGAGAAGGTTGCCCTGGCATTCAGGCACCTGAAGCTGCCGGCGGAGTGGAATGTGTTGGGGACAGATCAGACTTTGCATGGTAAGCACTTCAGTGAGCCACAGAGAGACCAAGTTTGGAGTACTTAAGTTTTTCAGTGGGGCCACTTCTGTACAATCATTGTCTTCAGGCCTTTCACAGTGGCTGGATAAATCTCGCAGCTACTGGAGCAGAGCAGCCTGATGGCATCCATTCTCGGTTCATTGCATTGCATTGTACATTGCATTCTTCAGCTGAGCTGTTAAGCCTGTTTTTTGCCATGAAATGCCCTAAACAGGAGCTTACTGTGGCTGTTATCAGTTCCCGCTTAATAGCAGAGAGTGGTGCACGCATCACCTTGCTACAGGTCAGGGGTTCTTGCTCCTTCTCCCAGGCACAGAAAGCAACCCTTCCTTCGTGAGGACATTAGCAGAGTAATTTTTTGTCATTCTTTTGGTATTTAATTATCAAAGACATGGCTTTCATTGTGGTATCCTGAAGTTTTCTAGAGACTCCATGGAATTAGAGGAAAGAACAGATGGGGCATTGAGGCCAGGGGGAGGGGGAAGTACCAGAGCTCCCTGGGCTCTGAGAAACCCCACACTTCTTTAACCAAAGCAGTGCCACTCTTAAACTTATTTTATCTGCTAGCTCTCCATATAAGAGTTCATTGAAGGAAAGGCTCCACTTTTAGAAAAAGCACTGGTGTAGTAACTCAGGGGTTTTCCTACATAATCATTCCTGTAGCAGATGAGTATTTACTAGACTTCATGATTTTATATATATATATTTAAATGAAACAGTGTATGCTTGGGGTCCAATAAATAATGTCCTCTTTCCCTGCTGAGTTTAAATCAAATGGAAAGGTTTAGCAGTTAAGCGGATGGAGGTCAAAATGTTTGCTACAGATGACAGCTTGTTGGGGCTACTGATGCTGCATCTGCTTAGAGGGTTTGCTCCTTTTCTTGCTTTATCCTAGAAAGAGTTGGACAGTCAGAGAAATGCCCTTCAGTGGCTATCCCACTCTGGTTATGGTATCCTGTAGGGAGAGCAGACCCATGGTCACCTTCTCTGCCTGTGAGCAGATCCTGAGGAGGAACGCCTAGAGGGGACTGGGTCAGGGGCATGCTCAATGCTTGCTCTCCAGACTTCATCCGTGGAAGAATGCTAAAGAGGTATTTGCCAGCTAACTCTTAAATCCTATGATTGACTGCAGGAAAGGTGTCCCTGTTGGCTGCAGCAAACTACTAGTGCAGTTCTCCTCAGCAAAATAAAAAAGACATTGTGGACTCTCAAATCCAATCAAGGAAAAAACTTTTATCCTTTTTTTTTTTTTTTTTTTTTTTTGCCTAATGACTGTAGCATCCAAGGAACCTCTGCACTGCTAAAATCTAAAGGTCAATATTTGCCATCATATAGGTCATGAGCACCTTTTCAGAAATCTTCATGTTGGGGCTTTATACCTCTAGCCCCTACTCTTCTGTATTGGTATGGGAATGATAATTCTGGCTGCCATTTACAAATAGCATCAAGATGGGATTGCATTAGTTTTTTATGGGGTTTATGGTGTTTTTATTGTTTTTGTCTTATTTAAAGAAGGCAGAGGAGTTGGATTGTTTGTTCATATTACCATGATTAAAAAGAACTGTTAGAAGAAGCACAGGTCAGAAACCTTGGGCATGTCACTTCCCCTCCCTGGTCCTTAGCTTCCTTGTCTTTCATGGGGGAACTGGCCAGCTTTGAAATTTTTGTGGACTTGCCATGTGCTTCTTCAGTTTCTTTTGTACAGAATTGCTCAAGCAGTACTAGCAAAGGCTAAATCAAAGGTTTGAACATTTAGGGAAGTGCATTAAAACCACAGTAAGGTACCATTACCCACCTATTAGGATAAAATCAAGAATACCAGGTCCTGCAAGGCCACAGAACAACATCCCATATATTGCTAGGGGAATTGCAGAATGATACAGCCATCCTGGAAGACAGTTGGGCAGTTTTTATTCTATGACCCAGCAATTCCACATTTGGCTCTTTAGCTTAGAGAAATGAAAACTTCTCTTTACTCAAAAAATCTTTGCACAGATATCTATAGCAGCTTTGCAAATAATACAGATCTCCCTCATTGGGTGAATATATAAACCAGTAGTGATATATCCATACAATGAAACACTATTCAGCAATAAAAAACAAAACAAAAACGGGAGTTGTAATAAAATTTAAAAATAATGAAAGGGACAAATTATTAGGGGTCCAAATGCAACAACCTAGATGCATTTTGCTAAGTAAAAGGAGTCCATTTCCAGAGGTTACTTAGTATATGGTTCTAGATAGTCTGAAAAGGGCAAGATTATAGGAAAAGAAAAAAGATGAGTAGTTGCCAGGGCCTAGGAGTCTGACTGCAAAGGGCTGTCTTGAGGGAATATTTTGGATATTGGAGTGCTTTTTATGTCTTGGTGGTGGTGGTTATAAGAATCTACACGTGCGTTCTGACTCACACGTGCTTCCCCCCTCCCCCATGTGAATTTTATTGTACATAAATTACAAATAATTAAAAGAGTGAAAGAAATTGAACAAGTTAGGTATGTATACTTTGCAAGGTGAAATGCATGCAAGGAACTCTATAGACCTACCTTGAACTCAACAGCTGGGATCAGGAATCTGATTTCAGTGCCAGATTGGCATTCTGCAACATAAGTTCTTCCATTAATTGTGGATTAGAATCTACATGCACTGGGTACTTTAAGGGCAGCATAGCATCAGTTAAGAGGTGCTTGCTTGCTATTAAGGGACTAGTGTAAAGGAACATTTTGCTCACCTCAGTGAGTTGCAAAGGTACCTAAAGGAAGAAGGTACGGAGCAGGCTTGTTGCCTAGGATAATGAGACAGGTAAACGGCACCCTGTTATATAACAGGACTGCTTGCTATTGAAAGCTGGGGTATTTACAGGTGTCCCAGGCTGATATTTGCACAACAGGATCATGTAAGATGTGTGGTTAATCCTCCTGCTCTTTGTTTAGATGCAGTGCTTTTTAATTTTTTTTAGGTCAGTGACTCCTTTGAAAATAGCTTAAGATTTCTCCTCAGGAACAAGTGCATATATGCGCCTATTTGAAACAAATTAGAAACAAATTATATATTATTTCCGTAGCCTTGGTCTCCCTGCACAGCAGGCATGAACATAACTTTGAGAATTCTTGGTGTAGATTTGATACTGTAATATGGGAGGGGCATAGGCAGTGGGCTACACTTGTTTACAGCCTAGCTTCATTGCAAGAGTTTGTACAAAGTACATCTCTGTTTCCCAGCTTCTTTATATGTAAAAGGGAGGAAGACTTATTGGGAGAGTGTTTGCGTACTGGTGTGTAAGCTGTTTTGTTTTGAATATACCTTGGCCTCTCTTCAGTAACCTACTGGAGACAGAACATTGATGAGCTCTAGGAGGGACACTGACATGTCCTATAGAAGGCTACTAGAAAGAATAGTTCTTTGAAGCAGAACTAAACCGTTTTGTTTTTGCTTTTACTTATTTATAAAGTTGCTCTTCACTTTAAGCCACGAGCAAGAGGGAGTTTGTGCATCTAGTACTTCCAGCCCTAGTTACATGAAGCAACTTCTACACTGTACTTGTGGCCTTAGTTCTGCTTTAAATGCAAGTGGTAAGGATGCATCTGGGCAGAGGGTGAATGGTGGGGCAAACAGATCTTCCCTGTGAGTGACCAAGTCTCACTTCCTTGTCTTGACTCCTCAGAGCCTCAGTGATGAGTGAAAGTGGTGAGCTGATATGGTTTCCTCGCAAGGAACTCTCTAGGGTGGCAAGGGCGGGTCCACTAGCTCTGAAGAAAAGGGTGGAGGAGAGACATCCTAGGGGAAATCTTCCTTCTGACTTATGATATTGTAGGACTGAATGAAAAGATCTGATCGTCTTTTGGGATGGGAATCCTCCCCACAGGGAGAAATTTGGGTGGAGCAGGATCAGACAGGTTTAAGAAAGACTGCACCAAAAACAGGGTGTTCTCAGTTCTGTATATCAGATATTGGTTACTAGAACCTCAGCCTTAACTGTTTGCTGTTTTAGTTCCTGCACCCCTCCTGTGGAACTATTTCTATTTCCTTAGCTACACTCACTAACATTTGCATCTTTTTTCAGCTATCATAACTGAAAGGAAATAAAATAGTAAAATATAAAAAGACCACTAGGGATTTTTTTTCTTGGCATAGGATTAATCTCTGTTGACTCTAGGACAAGCAGAAGCAGTTCCTTGTCATGGCAGGACTTTAGCTCCAGGAGGTTTTGTTGCCTCTCAGACCTTGATTCTATAACAAGGCTACAGTTACCATTTTTCTACAAGCCCCTTGCTCACACTGGTCCACAGTTTTCCTTCCCTGCATCATGTGGGACTGTAGCTTTATCTAAGACCCATTATGCCACAGTAGAAAGAATGATGATTTAGGAGTCTCATAGATATAGATTCAAAGAGTTTACTATGAGCCAGGGCATTTAGGTGGATTGATGAGGAAGGAAAAAGTCTTTGATTGCTATATTGTTCACAGAATTTAGGACATTTTACTTTGTCACAAATCTGACACTTTGGAAAAGTTGCAGCTATCTAGCATACTCATTGTGGTTGAATGCCTGCTAGGCAAGGTACATCAGCTTTCTCTGCAGATCAGAGGGAATAGGTGTGGGAGGTGCTCCCAGCACATAAATAGATAACAAGCTGGACTTAAGACATTTTCTACTATCTTCTCTATGGGTGGAAAACAAGCCTCCGTAGAGATTTTTCAATTGAGCATGGTTAAATGGGAAAGGCAGCCAACCAACACAGGGTCTATGAGATAAAGTATAGCCTCAAGGGAACAGAAAAGTATGATAAATATTCAGATAGAAAACTTTAAGGGACTTTCTTTAAGGAGCCAAGGAAAAATTTAGAAGAAAGTTTGCATTTGTCCATTAAAAGCTCAAAGAGAGCAAACTTATTATGAATTTAGAGAAGGAAGCAACCAGAAGAAAAATAAGTTTAGGGAGTATTTAATATGCCAGAAGCCCCTCGGTCAGGTTTCAACCAGAGAGTCAGGGCCAGCAGGAGAAATCTGCATTAAGATTTATTGCAGGGCATGGTTTACATGATTGTGGAGGCTGGTTAAGCAAGTCCAAGATTCATAGGGCAGGAATAGAGAAGATCATGGACAAGCTCATACCGACTGAAATGAGCCAAAGTTGTCATCATCAGTGAGTCAGGAAAGGATGAGATCTGGAGCAGGATGGAGTCCCATGAGCACAGGCTCAGGCCATCCTCCAGGGAAACCTCAGCCCTACTTTCAAAGCTTTCCAGCTGATTCAGTTAGACCTATCCAGATTATCCAGGATAATCTTCCTTATTAAATCAACTGATTAGGGGCTCTAATTACATCTGCAAAAAAGCCATCACAGTGAGGGCAAAGATGGTAAGGGAGTTACTTGAAATGATACAGGGACATCCAGAATCCCACAGCATAATTAAATTCAAATTGGGGACAAAGGACTCAGTTGACATCACAGGAAATGAAGTTAGAAATCTGAAGAACAAAGTTAAGTAACTTTCAAAATACAGAGGAGAAAGACAAAGGATCATGAGAGGAAAAAATACAGAATATAGAGACCACAGAACAGAAATTGGTCCTAAATTGTAGGTGTGCTAGAGTTTAAACTGAGACAAAAGGAATAAAAACAGCAACAAAAGTTAAGTTGGGCAAAAATTTTTATTTATTGGAGAAAAACATTAAAAGGTGCTTTGTAAACCACATTAGCTCCCTTGCATGATTGCTTGGTTTTTAGAAAAAGGGAGTGGAGTTAATGGAGAAGCTATGGTTTCTAGACAGAAGAATTTTCAAATCTTGCTGATTCTTGTTGTGGGTAAGTTATTAACCTGTCTTTGTCTGCAAACTGAGGATAACGTGTGAGAAGCATTAATGCAAAATACGTAGCCCAGAGCATGGCACCTCTAGGGTCTTGACCTGTGGTTACACTTCTTTGTTGTCTGTTGATTGCAGAAAGGGAGTGACCTGCAAGTACATGTGGCACCTGCTGCTTAGGACCTTAGAATGATTTCAAGAGGATACAGGTGCAGGAATCAGGGTTCCAGCTTCAAGCAGGTGGATGGCTTTGTTGTTGGAACTCGGAAATACTAAGCTGACTCAAATCAGGATTGGAAAGGGTGAGGTTGGAGAGAAAACTGCTTTGAGGAGGTGTTACCTAGTAAGGCTGGAATTGACCAGTCTCTCAAAAGTCACATAGTTCCTGGTCGATGACTTATTAGCTCTTTGGTTTTGATAAGGAGTGCTTGTGAACAACTGTAAGGGACAAGTCAGGTGGTGATATTTGATCTGTGAAGGATCTTTTTGCCCTTTTGTCTGGCCCTGCCACCTGCTCTGAGGTGTTGATTATTACAGTATGTACCTGCACATGCCATGGTTTCTTCTGGGGTGTTGATTTCTTTCCAGCCATGTGCCTCTGCTGAACACCCTATAAATTCTTGAATTAGTCAATGTGCATAGTTCTGTAGGAAAAATGTAAAAATATGAAAGATAGCTTTTCCATCTAAGAAAATTTTACGTTGGCAATAGGGAGACTAAAGTGATACATATGTGACGTTGGAAAGCAGTGAGATTCGGTGTAAAATCACAGGTTCAAAGATGCACTTGTTCTTAATTAATTGTTGTTCATGTAAGAAGCATAGAGGACTTAGGTGTAAGGAGAAAGCCCTGGGGTCCAAGAAGTCTGGGAATGCCCAGTGAAGAAATTGAGGCTTGTGGAAGCCATGGAGAATGAGAGGAAGGCAGGTATAGCTCCTGGGCACCATTCCTATTCTGTTGTCTGAGTGGTGGCCCTGGAAGTGAGCCATGGCCGGCCTGTGAGGCTGTGCACTGCAGGCCTGCCCTGGCTGTTGGTCTGTCATCACAGGAGAAGGCCTGAGGAAGAGAGAGGTGGTTAGTGAACAACCAAAGGAGAAAGCAGGGAAAGGGAGGGAACCTGGCACTTAGTGAGGATCTCACACAGTCTTCATCCCTGAGTTTCGCCACCCTGGTTGTTAGATGAAGGTGCCTCACCCAGAGATGAAGAAATGAAGCTCAGAGAGGTAGGAATGGATGAGGCCCAGTCATAGATGATAAATGGCCACATCCGAACCCAGATTTGTCTCATTCCAGAGCCCTTTCTCATTCCACCACTTTCAGCATGACTCGCTGTACCAACGGGAAACTTCCCTTTAAGTGAAATAAGCCCAAGAACATGTTTTTCTTTCTGAACTTACTAGTATATTATCTTAAAATTAGTCTTTCTTAATGTGCCTGGAGATGCATTTCTTTCTTTCATTAAACAAAACTAAAAAGCTGGCAGTGCCGGCAATTTGATTTGCCCTTAATGTGGGGGAATAAAAAGACCTGTGTGTACTCAACGAGCAGAACCTGTTCTTAGTGTTTAGTCAGCTCCTGCCTGGGTGTTATTTTTTCCTTAATTATACCTTTTACCATACACCCATCTAAGCCCCAACAGCTATTCCCCTTGGGTCCCCACGTGGTGAGGCTGTATTTCTCTCTCTCTCTCTCCTTTAAGGAAAAGAACACGCGTGAATTCCCCTTTATAAATCTGCCTACATAAATGGATTGCACAAATGTAGTAAATCAGAATATAGAAATGGTTTGGTTCTCTCTGGAGGCTTTGCTTCTACTGTGTTCCAGCTTTGTATTCTCCTTATGGGAGAGCTGGTTGTACCCCGCCACTGTCACACTGTGCTGTGGTTTAACTTCAGGATCTTACGTACTTGGCGGCAGTGGTGCTCATTTGTTTTTCTGTTTGTGTGCTTGTTTTTCTCATGTTCTTCTCACTGGGCTTTCTCTTCCATGTACAGATGGCAGCCCCCGGGAAACACTGATGCATTTCGCTGTGCGGCTGGGGCTGCTGAGGTTGACGTGGTTCCTGTTGCAGAAGCCAGGTGGCCGCGGGGCTCTCAGCATCCACAACCAGGAAGGAGCAACACCTGTGAGCTTGGCCTTGGAGCGGGGTTATCACAAGCTGCACCAGCTTCTAACCCAGTAAGTGCTCCTTCTCCCCAGTCCTTCCCCCTCATCACTAGCCCCACCCCCTGATTCATGGCGGCACCGCCCACTTGGCATCTTAGTGCCAGTTTGCCACAAATTAAAACCTCAGCTCTGTGGCTTGCCTTCTGCTGGAGGCTTGTAAGCTTGCTCCTGCTAACCACTTACTTCATTGTCTGAGAGACACAAACGTAAGTCCTGGTACCAGCTTCTCTCCCTGCCTCACTGCTTCTTGCCTCTTCCATTTTACTGAAAACTCAAAATAGGTATTGTCTGTGGGAGTAGCATTCCATTACCATGTATGTAGTTTATCCTGGTTTGGTACAAGAAAAAAGTTTTTCTCTGCCATACATTTTCCTATTACGTCTTCAAGACTTGAGTTAATTAGAAACAAATATTTTAATGTAATAATTATGTGCAGAAAATATGCCAAACCACTTAGTTTTGGTCTGAATGTAATTTCTATGAATAAAATCAAGAGCTGTGGTCTCTTCATATGAGTAGCAGCAGAAAGCAACCGAGTTGCCCTGGAAACAGGGCAGTAGGAAATCCTGAGTGTCTGTGTGTTCAGTTGTTAGCATTCTGACTCTTTAGATAGAGTCCTTTGAAGAAAAGTTGTTAGTCAAAACATCTGGAGTCCTTTTTTTCTTGTATAGAGAAAGAAATGCATTACAACGCCGACCCTTTTCACTGGAATATTTATAAAAGGCAGAAACTTCAGTTTCTCTAGTTTAATACATAGTTTTTACTGTTTTATGTTCACCACATCTTTTTGGCTATATAATCTGAACAAGAATAAACCCCCTGGGATTCATGTTCTTTAGTAATCGAGGGACACTTGTAAGTTAAGTGGATATTGCCAAAGTCTCCAATCTTTTGCTCATGTTCAACTTAATTTAGTTGCTATATATATATATATATATATATATATATATATATATATTTATTTATTTATCAATCATTTGTAGGTGTGTGTGGGGAAAGAATGGGGGGGGGGTTCTGTAAGGGCCAAGAAGAGATTTCAGAATGTAATGCTACATGCTGTTACATAAACAGGTCCTTTGTTGTGTCCAGTCACCTACTCAGTTTATAACTTTTCTAGTCAAGCCAGACAGAAGGTTCTTTTCAGACACTTTCTAATGGGTGCTACAGATACGATGACAGTAGGAGGGGTGCTCTTCATCTCAAATGAGCTCTGGATACTTGAGCTCTCCTATGACAGTATTCCAGGGAGTGATCTATTCCATTCCTTCTACTTCCCATCTGGCCAGTGATTAGATTCCTTCTGCTGTTTGCCTCAGGGCATTAGGACAAGAAGCCTTGTTCCAGAAGTTGAAACAATTAACTCTATAAGTAACCCTGGGGAGACTGGAAAGCAGTTGCTCTAAAAGTGATCTTATAGCTCAGAGTTTTTGCTGGGAAGCAGAGTTGGTTAAGGATTGCCATCCAAATGGGGAAATAAAGTGATTACAACAGCTTTATTATATGCTCGGTGAGGATGTCACAAGACTTATTGCAACGTGGCTTTAAGGAAACAAGAATGTTCTTAGAGAAGATTTTTTTGGCTTGCTTCATAGTACAAGCTCTGTTCCATGTGCAAAAGCCACTTTACCTCCTTTTGTGAAGGGAAAGAAAGCCAACTTGAGAAATCTTCAAGTAGAGGACCACAGTAGGAGATTAAAAATTAGCAAATAAAAGATGGTAAGGAGGTGATTTTACGGTTGCCCAGTCTTACTGTGATGTTAGTAGACTTTGCTAGAATTTCCACCATCGAGTCAGGAAAGATCATCATTAATGGATGAGGAGGAGCTGAGATCCAGAGAGTCAGTGATTGGATCAGAGTGACAAGGAGGCCCACCCAGCACCAAAAGCCAGGTCACCTGAAAAGCTGTCCAGAGCTCCTTCCACTCCGAGGATTCTGAACAAGGGGCCCAAGAATAGACTTCAGGGGGTCTTTGGCCTTTAAAATTATAGGCAAAAGTGTATGCATATGTGTTTCTGATCAAGAAGTTTGTCTTGTGAGACTCACAGGGTGGTTTGTGAAAAGCTATGAATTGTTTCACTGTATGACACCATCTAATACTTCACTAAAATCTTTAGATTGGGGTGTTCTTACTTCTCCCCCTTTTTAAATTAAGTTTTTCCATATAGGTCCATTTCATTTTATTCTATCTTCAGTTAATATGAAATTAAGGTAGGGATACATACATTTCTGTACTTACAAAATAACTACTGGCATGGCAGTCTTAACTGAAAATTCAAGTTTATTTAAATCCTTTTAAATGTCTCCCAAAATGGGGATCCCTGGGTGGCTCAGTGGTTTAGCGCCTGCCTTTGGCCCGGGACGTGATCCTGGAGACCCGGGATCGAGTCCCTCATTGGGCTCCCTGTATGGAGCCTGCTTCTCCCTCTGCCTCTCTCTCTATGTCTATGTCTATCATGAATAAATAAAAAATCTTTAAAAAAAATGTCTCTCAAAATAAATCGGTTGTTTCCCTTCCTTGCTGCTTACCCTGGTGTTGTTTTGTTTGGTTTTTGGTTTTTTTTTGGAGATGGGGGAGGAAGACGGCCATTCAGGGTCCAAGTTCTGTTTGTGTTTATGTGTCTGAGGCTTGTTCTGATAATCTGTTGTGATAAATGGAGTCACTTCTGTGTGAAAATCGATTCTGCTGTGCTTTGAAGTAGAAAGATTTTTTAAATAAGACCCATATCTTTAGAGAACTCTTGAATTGATACTGAATCCAGAGAGACAGCAATAATTCTTCAGGATGTTTTTCTGACAGCCTCCCTTTTCTGTAATCCATTATTATTGACTTTCACTGAGTTCAGTGATGGAATGGAGAGATTTTGTTGACTCCTTGCTCTTTTATTTTAGCTTATAGTTTGATTTTGCATTTTGAACATGGTTGTATTTGTGACCTGAGAATTCACCTTAAACAAAATGTTACCAATCTTGCCTGAGGAGAAATGTTATCCAGAACACTTAGGCCTACCCTTGCTTTTAGGTAGATGCACAGTTGTCTCCCCCACTTTGAAGAGAAGTTAGTTGAACATCCCCCTGCCCTGAGGTCTCCTAGTTAGTGATGGGTAAAAGAGGGAGAGAACCCAAGTCTTGAGGCTCTTCATTTAGCTAAGGCTGGGAGGTGACATTAGATGGGTGTTGCACACAGTCATCCAGAAAGAGAATGTGAGAGCCAGGTGCTATCAGACATCTCTCACACAACACATAAGCAGTCTGGGAACCTGGATCACTCATTTGAGGGAGGGGAAGAGCTGAGACCAAGAGGCAGTTCCAGGTAGTGTCTAAGTGGGCAGACTTTGGAGTCAAACCAAAGTTTGCATTTTGGCTCTCCATCTGTAGCTTTGTTACTTTGGATGCATTAAATAACTTTCCTCTCTAAGCCTCAGTTTCTATATCTGCTTAAAAACAAATAAGGATAAGAATACTTACCTCCTGGAATTATAACCAAGGGGCTGGCATATGCACTGTGAAGAAACAGGGGTTATTTGTCACACAGATGATAGTTACTGTTTGGAGCAGATAACAAGGGCAATAGATACCCTAGCTTGAGGAGAAGACGGTATGGTATAGTGGAGCCGCTTAGGCACAGAGAGCTTAGTTAAAATCTAAGCTTCCCCACTTAGTAGCCTGTGTGACTTGAAAAAAAAAGTGGGTAGTCACCTACCCATTCTGAGTTTCTCATCCCTTGGATAATACCCAGTTGGCCTATGTCACCAGCTTGTTAGAATCGAGTGATATTTGTGCAGATGCTCTGTTAGACTGTAAGGTACTCTGTGTAATAGTTACTCCTGTAGTCACATAATCAGTAAAATGATACTTCACTGATTAATGAAACTCAAATTCCAATTGATTGGTCTACCTAGAGTATCTTTTTTGTTATTTTTGTCATAGCTTTCTGTGAATTGAAGTTGGTTGAGAGATGGGCAGATTTTGTGTTGTCAGGCAAGTAGTCATGAACCCAGGGTCAGCCTCTGTGAAGCTGTGTTCTTGGGTGATCCTCTCACCCTCTTGAACCCCAGCCCAGTTTGTAACATTGGAAAAACAAGAGGGCCATCTCCAGGGTAGTTGCTTTGAGAAATAAATGAAGGAAAGCACCTAGGGCACTAACATGGTGACCAGTATAAATGGTATCCATTATTGCCCTTTTCTTGATTCCCCATTACTTCTAGAGCCATATAGATTTTTCATACATTAAAGAAATTTTGCCAGAACCTTAAAAGTATTTCTGGGAAGTATATGGTTGTTGCTGCTTGATAAGAGTTTGAAATCATTCTCTAGTATAATAGATCACACTTGTGAAAAATTAGTTTGGTTTTCTGTTCCATGCTGTGATGTGATGCCTCTGGGTGATAGAACAGAGAGCTCCAGATGGGCAAGGGATCATTTGCATCACTGCCACCCTTACGTGAAGAATATTCCTGTAGAGAATGTCAGCTCTCGAGTGTTGATGTAAAAGTGTTGAAATATTTCATTGGCCCAGAGAGCAAGTTTCAAAGTGTTCATCTTCGTGTCATTTTCTGTATCTGTTCAGTAAATCTCTTTGTTTCATGAGGGTCTGCAGTGCACTAGAAATCATGGTGGCTGCGTTACAGCTAATACTTCGCTTCCACCTTAGGACAGCATTTCTGAAATTGGCCTTATTTGTGTTGTACAGATGAAATATGAAGGCTCAGAGAGCTAAGGTAACTAGCCCAAGGCTTTCTAGAAAGTATTAGCGCTCCTGTCACACACACGTCTGTGGAATTCTGCAGCCCATTATCTTCCCTCTACAAAAGCTTGACAGGAGGAAGAAGCACCTGGGATACAGGGTGATTAACACTCAATTAGGGAAGGGTTAACAGCTTTCTATTTGATCCTGACCTCTCCTTTCCATTTATATTACCCATCATATTTTTTTTAAGATTTTTATTTATTTATTCATGAGAAACACAGAGAGGCAGAGACACTGGGAGAGGGAGAAGCAGGCTTCCCTGCA